GTGTGCTCTTCCGATCTTATATATTGTATACAGCGCTTATTTATAATTATTTTTAAATACAAATATTTTGAAACATGCTTCAAATATGTATAAATATGTAGGAAAAAATCCCGTCCCAAAAAACTTTATATTTTCTTTTAAAAAAATTCGCACAAATAGCATAAAAATTTGGCCTCTAGACTAGAATATCCCCTTAAGTAAAAAAGTTATTTGTAATTTATTGTGTTAAGCAGTAGTTTTTGAGATATAATAGTTTAAATTTAGCCATTTATAGATTATACGGTTAAACGGAAACATGTCCGTGAGCGTGTCGATAGTGTTAATAGTCGCGCACTTCACGCGCGTACTAATCTATAACTGGCTAAATTTAAATTCTTATATCTCAAAAACTACTGCTTAAAATAAAAATTTACAAATAACTTTCTTACTTAATTTTTCGAAGACTTTCTTGCTATAATATTTTAATTCGCGAATTTCGGGACCCTGTATATATCGTGATATTCCATAAATATCAACAGATAAAAAAAAGTCGCCGTTGCCGACATAGGTCTCCTAAAGAGACACTCACTTATTTTTCGAAAACTAAACTTGCACTTTATTACTAAAGACTTCTATTATATACTAATTAGACTGCTTATTTATTATCAAAATTATTTCACTTGTATTAAAAAGAATCAAAAGTAACTGAGCTCCTTATCTTTCGTGTCGCCTTATGCACATTAAATGTGTACTATCTGTATACCACGTAATCTGAGTGTGTCATGTGATTATGTATAAATATAGTATATGTATAAGATATGTGTGAATTTGGAGCATAAAAATGGCAGTTTTCCTATCAGGAATACTGCTTGACATTAAATATGCGACAAAATGAACAATTTAGTTAATATATCTATAGAAGTTTGTGATAAAATCATGATCTATTTAAATAATTAAAAATGTAAAAACCAATAACTCATATGTTTATAACTCGTTTCTATATAAAATCTGCTAAAAACAAATTTTACAAATGTGAAAAAATAACACAAAAATCTTACGATTTTCTTTTGCAAATTGTGTGGTTTAAGTAATATGAATATACATGGATTGTTTGATAAGTCAGTGACTTTGATAAGAAATGGCGCTAAAGATCGCAAAGGAGTTTATGCATTTTAGGAGATTTTGGAAGCATGTAGGGAACATTGGGTTCACCTTTTTTCTTATTCAATTTCACTTACTGAACCGAAAATCCTAGTCAAGAATTGCCCGTTGTAATCAAAAGTATTCGGGAAATATATTTTTTTTACATTTTAAACAAAAAAAGCAGTGATTGATTTTATCACTATGTTGAATTATATATGCGAATTTCTCTTTGTTTTTATAAAAATATGTTTCGATGTTACCTAAGCCTTCATCCTTTTTCATCAGAGTTTCAGAATCTGCAAGTTATTTTTAGTTATGTATAAATTTTAACTTTTTCATTGAAATATCCCGAAAAGTATAAATGATGCGGAAAAATGTTTCTTATAAAAGTTATACGATCTGAAAGGGAACAAATAGTGGTAAAATTATTTCCCCAAAAAATTAATCTTTCAAGATCATATAAAGGATACCACCATTTTCTTATATCAGATTATACTCGTATAATTCTTTTACATAGTTTGAATTCTTTAATTGTTTTTTATATAAAAGTTTTAGATAAAGCTATCGAAAATTTAATAATTTACAAAATATTTTCTACTTTATCCTGAAAACACTGACGATCCCGTCTTAATTGACAACAGAAAGATCCATTTTACTATTCCTTATGTAAGTTCTGTATCGGAAGAGTTCACTTCGATTGCAAAAAAATTAAATTGCCAAATTGCCTACACTATTCCGAATAATTCGAGAAGTCTTATAGCGACAGGAAAAGACATTTTAAATAGAATGTCTCAATGTGATGTCGTTTATAAGATTGATTGTCTTAATTGTGAGGCCTCATATGTCGGACAAACAAAAAGGCAATTAAAAACTAGAATTCACGAACACAAGTCTGACATTAACAAAAAGAATGGCTCTCCATCGGTTATTTCTGAACATCGTCTTGTTAAAAGACATGAGTTTGATTGGGATAATGTCAGAATCTTAGATATCAGAGATAAGAATCATCTTGGATAGAAAGAAGTGTATCAGAGATGATATATATTAAAAAACAAATTCAAGCACTAAACAAGCAGGCGATACGGAATTATTATCGGATTCCTATTTCCCCATCCTTGAGGTCTTTTCTACATAATTTCCATCACCCTTCTACGACCCTTTCCACATCCTATCCTTTCCCCAATGTCTCTATACTAGTCGCTCTTCATTACGTTTTTCCTTCTTAAACCGTGCACATTGTGTCAATGATGATTGGAGAATATGGTATGAATATGTTTTTTAATAATGTAAGTTTTTTTTTAATTTTATTTTTGACGTTTTTTTTATTTGTACTTAATAGCATTTTCTTTCTGTTATATACACTTTTAGAAAAATAACTACGTTCACCTTAATAGATTTCTATGTTCTGATTTACACACATTTTATCAAGATGACTTTTCATAATTTATAATTTAATTTGATTTTATTTCTACACAATTTTATCTATTTATTATTTATTTATACAGTTATTCATTTATCCTCAATCTTGATTGTTACTATTGTGTGCTTTCCTCTTACAGTTATATGATTTCTGGATATTCAAACATACATCTATTTATAAGTCACGGACTAAGGATGATGTTTTCCAAAAAATCTAGAAACCAAGACAAGAATTGTAAAACATCGGACTTTTATAAATTGCGAGCGTAATGCGTTTACATGTATGTACAACACAAAGTTGATTATTTAATTCGTTATATGTCCACTGAGGATGACCACTATGTAAAAGGATTGAAACGTCTGTTATACATTAAGTAGCTTCATAATAAAATTTGTTTACCATCACAGTCAAAAAAGATCATTAGCACGTTATACCTAGCTCAACAGTTCCATTATTGTTATAATTTGATTATGAGCCTTTGATAATTTCGTTTTATTTTAAATTTTCTACTTTATTATGTCATATTTTGATATAAAATATGAAATATAAATCTCATAAATTATTGATTTCTTGATAATTGTACCTTAACACATTTATGTACAAAATAACGAAATGAACCAATTGGAGTAAAGAAAATATTTAGTTCATTTAAAAAATTTTAATTTAAATTTTTAATTTAAAAAATATTTAGTTAATTTATAAAAAAATGCAATTTGCAATATTGAACTAAATTTTTTTTAAGCAATTGAGATATTTACTTTACTCCAATCGATTTATCTCATTATTTTGTGCATAAAAGTATTAAGGTACAATTCAAGAAAGATAGTTTATGTCGTTTATGAGATATTTCATATTTTATGTCAAAATATGACGTAATAAAGTATATAAAATATCTCATAAACTATTAAATTTTTGATAGCTTTACCTTAATTCTTTTATATGCAAATTTCTATAGGAAAATGATATGATGGAATCATATTATGTAAAAAAATTACATAATTCTATAGTGTAAAGTGGCGGTACCATGTAGATGTTAAAAAATAAATTTTTTTGGAAAATTATTTGTACTATTATTTATCCTTCAGACCGTATAACTTTTATCTGAAATATTTTTTCTCATTTTTTATGTTATACTTTTTGAGACATTTCGATGTAAAAGTTAAAATGTGTACATACTTAAGGATAGCTTGCAGATTCTCAAGCTTTATTGATGGGAAAGGATGAGGGCTTAACATTAAAATATATTTTTATTAGAACAAAGAGAAATTCACAGACATAATTCGATAAAGTTATAAAATCAATCGTTACTTTTTTCTGTTTAAAATGGAAAAAAGATATTTCTCGGATACTAGAACAATTTTAATTACAATTTTCCGATTTTGCAAATGAAATTGAGTAAGAAAAAAGGTAAACAAGGTCCAATATTCCCTGCGTGCTTTCCAAATCGTCTAAAGTGTATGAATTCCTTTAATATTATTTTAGACATTTGCCATTCTTTGTAGACAAACACACAAAATTTCAAGAAGCTCTGTCAAATAATAAATCTTTAACAGCATTTGAAAGCGGAGTTTGTGTTTTTTTTGTTATAATGGAAAAAAGTTAATTTCGTGTAAATCTTTAAAAATACTACAAATATTAGATCATCAGTTATATCTCTCAATCACGTTACAACAATATGTTTTCTTAATGGTTTTTTTACGCAAAAAGTATAAGTGCTTTATTAATATAACACATGGAATTAACTTTTTTCCACTGCAAAAAAAACACAAACTTATATCCATTTCCGAATGCTGTTAAAAATCTACTATGATAGATCTACTTTTGAATGCTTACACAAAGAATGACAAAAATATAATAATATTATTAATTTATTGTTTAATATTATAAATAATAATATTTGCAAATTTGCGATCTGAGCGCCATTTCTTATTAAGTCACTGATTTATTAAACGCCACGCGTATATCCAATATTATTTAGACTTATCAAACACTCAATATTATTACGGCATCAGAAATGCTTAGCCATCTGATCTTGCAGGGATACCGCGGGCTTATACATATACATATATTGATATGTATACATATATGTTTATTCAAAATATATGTATGGATATGTGCTCCTGCAAATTCAGATATGGCTAGGCATTTCTGATACCGTGCGTACATATTATAATATTGTTTTACATATTTATTGTAGTTTCCTAAAACTATTTTATTTATATTTTCTCTTTTTTATTTTTTGCAGGTTTTGATTTATTTTATTATTAGATGTCCATTGTATATCTGGGGGTTCTCGCGGAGTCGCTGATTACGAATCCGTGATCAGATTTCCGAAATTAAAAATGGTGGATTCAATATGGCTGACCCGAATTCGAAAAACTAAAGCAAATCTTATGAAAACGTATATCTGGAGGTTCAGCGATTTTACACTGGATCAGCACTGTTTTTCGGATTATAGTCGCCATATTGGATCCGCCATCATGAATTTCGGAAATCTGATCACGGATTCGTAATCAGCGACTCCGAGAACCCCCAGATATACATTTTCATAAAATTGCATTGTTTTTCGAATTTGGATCCGCCATATTGAATCCGCCATTTTGAATTTCTAAATTTTGACCTCAGATTTATAATCAGCAACCTCGAAAACTTCTGAGTACCAATTTTCAAGTCAATCGTAGATAAGGAAAAATGTATGCTTCACTGGGTTAATTCATCTCATTGTTCTGCATAAAAGTACAGTGCCTAAAAAAATGAGTAGTTTACGAGATATTTTATACTTTGTATCAAAATTGTCAAAATAAAATATCTCATAATATATTGATTTTTTGATCATTTTGCTTTAATATTTTAATAACTACAGAAATCATATTATATAAAAAAGACATATAATTTCATTTAAAAAAAGCAGTAATCTTCATTATATTATAATCATAAAAAAAATCAATTTAAAAAAATTTATTTTACCGTTATTTGTTCTTTTTCAGATCATACAACTTTATTTGTTCAAAATATTTTTTGCTATGACGCATACTTTCAGAGATAATAAATAATAAAAGTGTTACAATAGCTTTAACTGCTCCACCTTATACATATGTGTATACGTATATGTATTTCTTGAAACTGCCGAGAGATTCATGGACATTCGAAAGTGAAATTCCGAAAATGTATCCAAGTAGAACACAAAAGTCAAATGATATAATGACATTATTATTGCATTATTTGTCATTTATAAGTGACAAATAAAGTTATGATGACATTCTAATGATATCATATTTGACTTCATAATAATATCATTATAACTTCCGTATTCTACCTGGATAATGGCAATGAAATGGATAATGGAAATGAAATTGGAATCATCAAGGATGATTCTTTTTTGAGCTCCTGATTTTGTTTCTAGTAGTTTAACTTGTTGTGTAGATATCTTCACGATGAGCCTATCAATTTTATATCGGTATCGACGGCCAGGGCCACGCTCGACGCGGCTCATCAATACCTTTGTCCTGGACTCGCGCGACTCGCCGTGTCGTATCTCGAGAAACATCTTACACCGTCGACCGTGCTCGAGATTTATCAAGGCCTCGGACTCTACGCGAACGATCTGCGGGAGGGAGATCCCGGTTTTGACAGATCGCCGAATTCACCGTCAGCACCACCGTCGCCCGAGGATGACGCCGGTGTAATAGGTACGCCCTTCATCCCTTTAAGTAATCTTTAAACCATCAATATATTATTGCATAATATTTAATATCGTTTAAAGGCTATATTGAGTGTTTGCTTTGACTTATCTAAAAGATGCATCAATAATTAATATTGCACCAAATTGATTGTCTAGAGACTGCTTTGTAAAGTTGACAGTTTTGATGAAGCAATATAATAAAAATGGAACACGAAAAGAATGATTTTGCTGAAAGATCCTAAAATTTAGCTAGATACAGATCTAAAAATAATTTTGTTGGATCATCAAAATAATTACATTAGAAACTCGATATTGATGAAATGATGAGCATTATGTTGCGAAATATTCTAGCAACCAGTGTGAGTTTCCAGCATAATTATTTTTATGGTTCAACAAAATAATTTTCAGATCTGTATTCAACCATGAATTTTAAGATCTATATCAGCAAAATCGGTTTTCCCGTGAATGATTGCTACTATAAGAGCAGAGTATTTAAGTATAATACAAATTCGAGAAATTAAGCGATTTTCACATTGCAGCTGCAGTGTGCACCGATCTTCTGCTCAAGTGCCTATCTGTGATCGACTCGAATCCGGCGAGAGTGCTGAATCAGGAACACTTCGAGGAGCTCAGCGCCCAGGAGGTCGCCCAGTTAGCGTGCCGCGACACTCTCAGTATCCCCAGCGAGTCCACCCTCTTCTGCGCGTTGGACAGATGGGCCGCGGCGGAGTGTAGGAGACAGGGTATCGAACCCCTGCCAGTCAACAAGAGAGCCGTACTCTCGGACGACGTCTGCTTCAGCGTACGGTACCTGCTTATGAACGATCGGGAATTCGTCAGCGGCCCTATGGCGAGCGGAATCCTGACCAATGAGGAGTGCGTCCACATTGTCTCTAAAATACTCAGGCATCCCGAGAGCTCGAAAAATGACAGCGTAAGAGAGAATAAGCATTCTAATTTCGGGAATTTCTTTGCTGTTTTATCCTTTGAAAGCATTATATAAATATTATTTTATTATTATATAAATAAACACACACACACACACACACACACACACAACATAAATCAAAGTCATTAAGTAAAGAGTGACTTAAAAAATTGCCCGTTTTTTTGGGCTCTCGATTTTGAGACTGAACTGTGTGTCAAATGATATCTTATATATAATGAGACATTAATTACAGAGAAGTTTCAAGTTGAGGTGACAATTGTTATCAGAACTGGAGGAGGAGGGAGGGGTGAAATCAAAGTTCATTATGGAATTATCACAGGTTTGTGAGGTCCGGTATTTTAAGAAGGTTGATCCAGCCAACAAAGGTTGATCGCAGTTTTCCGTAAATAACGCTTTGGATGTAAAAAAATCGAATTTTAGCGTAAAGAGACGTAATAAGTGACCCTCCGTCCAGCTGTGATAACAATTGTCACCTCAACCTGAAACTTCTCTGTGATTAATATCTCATTATAAGGTACCATTTAGCATACAGTCCAATCCCAAACTCGAAGGCCAAAAAAACGAGCGAAAAAAACCACCTTTTTTGGGTCACTTTTTATTATTTTAATTTGATTTATTTGATACACTTTATTTTATTTGTTCTGTATATCCGATTAATTTTGCGTTAATAATAATACTGATTGGAGAAGGTAGAGCTTAAAGAAAATTTTTCTTTAAAAATCCACAGTTTCGGAGTAGCGCAGCCATTCATCCATCTAAGTTGTCCAGTGCACCTAGAATCGCATATAAACGCGAGGATCAAGACTGCAACATGTTGAGGCCGGGTAAAAAAGAGCGACAGGATAATCGAAAGAATAGAAGGAGAGAGTGTGCCAGTCAGGGACAGAGAACATGCGCTAGAATAGGAAATTGCCTCGTACAAATCCTAGCTTGTGTGTTTGACTAAACATCGCACCGTGGCGTCATGATTAATCGCAGAACTTCCAAATTTTCGAAAAAAATTATTCGTTGTTTTTTTTTACATCACTTTGTTTCTTCGATTGTAAATTCCGCCCAAGGAATCGAGACACGAAATAATGAATATTAAGAGCGATATGGACATTTGATAGTTGTCTAAAAAACAACGATGTATACACACGTTTATCTATATGATAATCAAGTCAAATCCACAAAAGATATTCAGTATAATTGCATAATTTAAATAAAACTTATAAATCGTAGATATTGCTTCTTAATATTTTTTATGAATGCGAAAAGACACAAGTGATTTCTATATCATTGCCGAAATATTAAGCGTATTATATGTCAGCTAGTTAAAATCAATACACACACACACACATACACACACACACACATACACACACATATATACAGGATGTCCCAAAACCCGCGGATTTCCTTTTAAGTACAGATTTTTTAGAATATTCTAAGACAAAAATCCTAATGAAAATGTCGGGACTATAATAGTTTTTAAATTAATAGCGATTAAAGTTGGCTAATCACAGAGACATTTCGCGCGCTCAGGCACGATGATATGACAAGTGATAGAGGTGCTACGAGGACCCTCTTAATAACGCCGAGATTATCATACAAATATGCAATAATATTTTTGCTAGAAATTATTTTTTCTTTTATACGAAACCTATTTGTACATTAAATAATCAATTAATATCGCAATATATAAAAAAATATCAATACAATTATGAAATATTACGATATGTGTCAACTGTCAAAATAAATTCATAACTATGTTCATTTGCCTCGTATGGTGAATATTTTTGTAATAGAAACCATTTTTAACATGAAAAGAATTGAATATAGGTTTTGTATAAAAAAAATATAATTTTTCAGCAAAAATATTATTGCATATTTGTATGATAATCTCGGCGTTATTAAGAGGGTCCTCGTAGCACCTCTATCACTTGTCATCACTTGTGCCTGAACGCGCGAAATGTTAGCTCTGTGATTAGCCAACTTTAATCGCTATTAATTTAAAAACTATTATAGTCTCGACATTTTCGTAGAATTTTCATCTTAGAATGTTTGCAGATCTTAGTATTAGAATCCGCACTTAAGAGGAAATCCACGTTTTGGGGCACCCTGTATATATAGGCAATATTTTGAAGGTAATAGAGACTGAGATACTGAAAGAAACGTTTTTAATGTTTGTAGGGGCGTATTTAATTCGGCGGACTTTTATCGGCGAGATACTATTTTAAAAGAAACGTAGAGATCGCGTCCACCGCGTGAAAATTTACAATCATGTTGTACACCACTTCCATTAATATTATAAACATTTTATTGTTTTACACATATTTCGTTACTTAAGGAGATATTTTATCCTCTTGTTTGTAACTTAGCGCAAGATCTGTTGCTACTACAACAGTAATCTTCTCGCTACAGTTGATGGACAAAGTCAAGGACTTCGCTGTGCATTTTTCAATTTTACAAATTTTACAAGGAAAACGAGACTTCGATTTTGATTCGATCGTCGGAAAAAAATGTATTTATACGGATATGAATGTTAAGGTCCAATACTGTAACGTACCTTTTTCATAAGCGCCTTTCCCAAAGATTTTTTTTGTAAATCGAATGTATGGTATGAGAGAGTATTGTCTATGTTATTACAAATGCGTACCCTATTAAGTGTTATTACGACGTACTTCGTTGTGTTCATATTTGCTGTTCAGAGTATATATAATCTTTAAATTATTTGTATTCTGCATAGTACGTAGAGATTCCGAGCGGCTAAGAATCCGAGAGTTGACGCGTTCAAGGATATATATTATTTTGTTAGTCGGATCTTCGAGAGAGAGAGTTGTCAAATATTTATCTATCCGATATATCTCCATTTGATTTTTTAAAAATTTTATATTTTTTATTTATCCAGAGTCTTCACATTTTTTGAGAGTACCTAAATGTCTATCAGATTTACAACGAATGAAACTGTAATTATGAGTTGGATACTTTAGGAAAAGTTTCTGAAAATGAACGTATTGTATCTGCGGTAAAAATGGTGACGTTACTGAAGAAATAGTAATTGTTTTATATTGATAAACAATCGGTAAATTTTTATAGTTTTGTATAAGAGACGTTTATATTGTTGCCATATACTACTTTTAATCGGATTATTGACGTACATGTGTATAACAGAACTTGCACTTTTAGCATGTGCTTTAATAGAGTTACAGACTGATCGTGCGGCCATGCTTGTATTTAAAATCTCTGTGATCGTTGAGAGAATGAAACCGATTGGAACGAAAGAATTCAAGCGGTTTCCGATATACGTCTCTCCTCCTCTCTGATCCCCATATATTATTTACATAAAACTTATGGAATATTGATATTATTTTCTATTTTTATTATAAGTCTAATGTGAACGCAATTATACTGACATAAGTCCAACTTTGTAACGAGCGGAATTATGAATACTAGTCATACAGATTTGTTTTCCAAATAAAACTGAGTTACCAGATGTATTCGTTATTTCTTGTGTATTAAAAATGAAATATGTTAACACCAGAAAGAATATGAAATACATAAAATAGCAAAATATAAATGGTAATGCGTGTTGTAATTATAATTTGATATCTAGCACGAAATATGTCTACGTAGTAAATTGTTGGATGGAGCATGGTGCTCATAAATGGAGTAATGTAAATAAAATACAATATTGAGTATAAATCTTTTGCATTAACAAAATTATTAACAAAATTAGTTAGCAATTAATTACAGTTGTTAAATGTCATAACAATGGTAATTAATTTAAAAACAATTTCAATAAAAATTTCCTCACGATTTTTTTATATATAATATATACTTTTTTAAATGTATACTATTCATTTATTTATCTCATTGGATGTTGCTACATCCAGCAATTTGTCAGCCATTTCTTGAAATCGTTCCCATTCTTCGCAGTGCGTTATAAGTAGTAGGCTGAACTTTTCGTAGCCATAGAAAGCACCTGCGATCGCACCGGTCATACTAGCAATCGTATCTGTGTCGCCTCCCAAAGAAATCTACAAAATAGTAATAAAGACATAGTAATGTAAAAGATACTTTGATATATTTTGCTATATAAAATCGATAATAATTATTTGGTCCATCATATCGCTATGAATTCCGTTATGAAACTTATCGCGAATCAAATAACTTAATGAAGATCAACTTACGGCATATTGAATTGCTCTTCTGAGACAATTATAAGTTCGTATCTTTTTTATGCTCCTCTGTGCTCTTAGAAAGCAAAAGATCGCAGTAGGGACCGACTCTAAAGCTCTGACAGTAACACCCAGTTCTTCAGCTACCTTTTGCTCATTGGGATCATCTCCATCCTCAGAAAGTAGATCCTTTACTGTGTTTAGTCGCTCTTTATATAGTCCACTATAATTTATACGTTTATAATTGATATCTGTCTAACTGTACACAATATGTATCATAAAATATACCTTGCATCACCCTCTATTTTGTCCATTTTGTTTATAAGATTGTCAACAAAATTGAAAACGTTTAATTCTTCGCTGGGATCTAAATGTATGCTTTGTTGAATTGCTACAGCCTGTGATAATAACGGATTGTTTTGTGACAAATATAAATCAAATATTAATACAAATACATATACATATGTATACACATTGTATTTTTTATTGATAAAAATTGATTTGCAGTTACTTGTAAAATAGCGCCAACAATCCCTAACTCGTGTGCATGTGTAATTTCCGTTACTTCTTTGACATAATGTAAAAGTTTATCGTAATTGTTGTATGAGAATAACGCAATAGGTGCAATTCTCATTGCACCGCCGTTACCATAAGAACCTACACCGTTAAATAAATTCTTTGCTGGGATTTTTACATTTGTTTCCTCCACATGATTCTTAAATTCCTTGAGTACCTATATATATATAAGAGATTATTACAATTTACTATTTATTATGAAATCATAAATATAAAACAATTACACAATCCAAAAAAAAACACCATAACGAGAGTAGTCATTTCCCGTGATTTTTTTGGATGCTGAATCCAAATCCGGTTGTAGAATTGCTTCACGCCACAATTTTGAAAAATTTGCAGGTAAAGTTGCAAAAATGGGCTATTTTCAAGTATTATAACTTCGAAATGCGACGTACTATTTACTAGACAAGTGTTCTTGCAATTAAAATTAAGTATGTTGTTAAGACTTTCAAACCTTAAATAAATTTTTGTACATAAAAATAGTCCTTTCTTGCAACTTTACTCGCAAAATTCTCAAAATTATGATAGAGCAATTCTACAATACTGAATTCAGCGTCCAAAAAACTATGACTAGTCTCATTATGGTAAAAAAGGTCATTTTATGTTAAATACTGTTATAATTATAGAAGAAAGGAAACTAGAAAGTATCTTCTAACGTTTGCAAACTTTATATTGTATTATTTATAAAAACTTTGATGTTTTACTGAAAAAACTTAAATCTTGAGATAAATTGTGATATTTATTGTTAATATTTTATATATATTTTCATATAAATAAGAATTATTGAGCAAGATATTTTAATTTAATATTATAACATCAATATAATAAAGAAAAAGTTGACCAATATTAAAATATATTGTATAATCAAGTAGAAATAAGTTTATTCAGTCAGGGTTGGAACTTATTGCTTAATTTTGCATGATTTTATATACAGGGTGTCTTTTAATAGGTGTATCACCGCTCATGGGTAGATAGAATGGACTAAACTGAATCGAAAAGTCCTCTACCATTTTGCAAAATTCGCAATATTTAACGAGTTATTAATTTTTGAATATTGCCGAATGAGCGAGTATCCGTTCGGCCCACCGCCAATACTAGCGCACCACCGTCCATGAGCCGCTCGAACGCACAGCCATTTTCGCTATAAACAATTCCCCGCTCGCCGCGTGTCACGGCTCTCGCGCTAAGCAACCGCGCTCGATGAACGATCGCGCGCTAATATTGGCGGTGGGCCGGACTCGCCGAACGGATACTCGCTCATTCGGCGATATTCAAAAATTAA